AATTGTTGAAGGTTTTTTCATGTGTGTTTGTGCTTACATTCTCTGTTAAAAGGTATTTTTGTATTGTTGTCAAAGGATATTTAGCTTGAACATTATGTTCTTTGTTAAACTTTTTTTTTGTGTTTCTATGTACATCAACAATATTTCATTGTTTAAAGAATTTATTTTTATCTCATTTCTTGGATTGTTTAACTAAATGCATTTTAATGTTCTGTTGTTATTCAACAATGAAGGTTTTTATTTATGTATTTAAATTATTGTTTAATTGGTTAATTTTTTTGTCTATATATTTCCCAAAGATTTTCTTTATTTTCTTCATCATGTAGTGAATCATTTCGTACGTTAAAACGTGGTTAAAAATTTATTTTTAAGGATTTTACCTTCTATATTACGTGTAACCGTTTTTAGGAATGAGGGAAAGTTAACACATGTCGTGAGTTTTTCTTTTTTAAGTTAATTGGTTTAAGCTATATTTGATTATTAGATTGAGAACAAGCCTGAAACATAGAGAGAAGGAAAAGTGTAGATGCAAGTGTACCATGCATTTTTACTATCTCATTTTAGTGTATAAATTTTCAAAAATTCGTTTAGTCTGAATCTCTGCAATTTTCCAAGTACACTTAGTCCAGAAAACTGTTAAGTTGTTTTCTTTCTAGCTACCAGTGTTGCTTTGTTGTTCTCCAGAGATAATATCTGTTCGAGCATTCGGAGATAGTGCTGTAATGTTGAAAATTATGCAAAAAGGTCAACGACCACAGTATCCTTCACCGTCATTTCTTATATCGAATGAGAATGACCAGTCACATGGAGAGAGATATGGTCATTAGGAGGTAACTTGATGTTTCGTCTTCAGTAAGCATTATTACACAGGATCTCAAGGCAGTTGGTTGACAGGAAGACATCTTGAGGGAAAGAAACCTGTTAATCAGTTCACAGATCCAGTAGATGGTGACTATTCTGTGCTCTATGCAAGTGTGCACAAAATGTTTTGTCTATTGATAAATATTTTTAATTGTGGTTTACAGGTCTTATCTAGTCTTATTGTTTTTCTTAGCTTAAACTTCATAATATATCCTGCCAGATTCTCCCGTTATAAAGTGGACCTAATTAACTCAGTTAACCTGAGAACTCTATGAAATGTGGAGTTGATAATTACTGTCTTGATGATCCTGTCCAAGGTCTAGATGGACTATCTGTCTAGATAAGCACAGAAGTTTATAATGACTGTATGTACAGTAATTTCCTTGTTCACATCTCAGTGTTTACTATAGAAAACAACTTAGTACTTCATTTCTGATGCTTCTCTGTAACATCATTATTTGTTGCCAAAGCTCACTCTCATATAAAAATGAATTATTTAACTTTATCCATAAATAAAAACAAGAAAGACAGCGCGTTGTGGTCTGTCGGTTTTATATTCGAAGAGAATGTTAACAGAATAATTTTAGCAGGATACCTAAAGCACAAATATGTGAGAGTTTTACAGGATAAACTCGTGCTGAATACGTAAAAAACATGCAGAGATGTTTACGTAATATAGTCGAAGAAGGTAAATATTTTGAATCTTTTTATGGCATAAAGTAACCTGTATAAGTAAGTACCTTAGAGTCAGATTGTGTCGATCGGATACCAATTATTGTCATGGTTATTAATCTGTACGATCACCTAACTCTGAATGTTAATTAGAAACTTTTAATTACTAGCTAGTTTTATTCTACGTTAGCCTCTAATCTGCTACACTCTTCAGGGAAGGACTATTTCTGTGATGGTAGTGACCAGGGTTCGATCCTGGATCTTCTTGATGCAAGAAGATAAAATCTACTTAATAATTACTATCGTGTAGACTACGAACATTAAACGTTATTCCTTCACTGTATATTAGTATAGATTATATTGACAATGGAGATCAGTTCTCTCCCTTCAAGTCGTTTGACTTCGAGTAATATTTACAGAAACGTGCATAAAAAGATACTATAATAATGAATTTATGGTTTTACGTACGTTTTGAGTTTATTTAGTTTCTTCACATATGTCATGTACAATGTAAGTCTTATTGTGTAAAATATGTAACCAATCATATACAATGCAAGAGTACTATTGTGTGAAATAGATACAGTGTGAAAAATGGAAAACCAATGATGCATAATGTAATATATACAGTGTGAAAAATGGAAAATCAGTGATGTACAGTGTAATATATACAGTGTGAAAAATGGAAAATCGGTGATGCATAATGTAATATGTACAGTGTGAAAAATGGAAAATCAGTGATGTACAGTGTAATTTTTCCATTTTTCACACTGTACATTCTGTGATGTGCGATTACATCCTGTTGTATGGAATGCAGTCTTTTTGAAACTGTGAACGTATATACGTCTGTAGTTGTGGCCTAGAACATTAGGTATAGCTTCCCAGCTCTGGCAGACTCTGTATCGATCAAGGTTTAGCTAGACTGCTTACACGGCGTCTGCTGGCATGTTCTTCTCTACGCCATACAAACAGTTGTACATGAACGTGTGCTTTCATGTCCTTATGTAGTCGTTAAGGTTAGGGTAAAATCTATGGATTCCATGTCTCAGCGTTCACTACGATATATTCTATGTTTCGGTTTTAAGATAATAGTTTGTAATGACGAATTTGCTATTTTTCAGATAATTCAAGAAACTTGACCATGATTACTCGAGTTTTATAAATTACACCATGATGCTTCTAACAAGTGAAAATCCTGAAACACTACGTTTAGGGCAGCTGTTAAAAAAATTGAAGTCACGCATGAAGAAAATACAACAAAAGGGACCTTTAACACATCAACATGACTATTAATATAAAAAACTTTACAACATCAACGTGACTGTTAATATAAAACACTTAACAACATCAACGTGACTATTAATATAAAAAACTTTACAGCATCAACGTGACTGTTAATATAAAACACTTAACAACATCAACGTGACTACAAACATAAAACACTTTACAACATCAACATGACTATCAATATAAAACACTTAACAACATCAACGTGACTATAAACATAAAACACTTTACAACATCAACATGACTATCAATATAAAACACTTAACAACATCAACATGACTATTAATATAAAACACTTTACAACATCAACATGACTATTAATATAAAACACTTAACAACATCAACGTGACTATTAATATAAAACACTTTACAACATCAACATGACTATTAATATAAAAAACTTTACAACATCAACATGACTATTAATATAAAAAACTTTACAACATCAACATGACTATTAATATAAAACACTTTACAACATCAACATGACTGTTAATATAAAACACTTTACAACATCAACATGACTATCAATATAAAACACTTAACAACATCAACATGACTATTAATATAAAACACTTTACAACATCAACATGACTGTTAATATAAAACACTTTACAACATCAACATGACTATCAATATAAAACACTTAACAACATCAACATGACTGCTAATATAAAACACTTAACAACATTAGCACCATGTATATAAGAACACCTAACAATATCATCACCGTGATCATTGATATCAGAACACTATAACTGATAACATCAACACTGTGACTATTGATATCAGAACACTTTAACTGATAACATCAACACTGTGACTATTGATATAAGAACACTGGAATTGTGAAGACCCTCTGGACCTAGCAATTAATTGCACTGTAAGAGCAATAGAAATAAAAGAACCAAACTCAGCTTAAAAAAACATAAGGTTATGTAACAATACAGTTAATAACAAAATAGACACATACAACTACTAAGAAACTAGAAAAAAGTTTCACACTAAAAAGAAAGCCTGACATAGTTGATAGAATCACGGTCTTTTTGCCTTTCTCAGGGGAAGTTTACTGAAGAAAACCTGTCATTGTTCATAGAATCATGGTCTTTTTTTTACTTTCTCAGGGTAGAGTTACTAAAGAAAGACTGTTATTGTTCATAGAATCGTGGTCTTTTTTACTTTCTCAGGGGAGGTTTACTGAAGAAAGCCTGTCATTGTTCATAGAATCATGGTCTTTTTTACTTTCTCTGGGGAGGTTTACTGAAGAAAGACTGTCATTGTTCATAGAATCGTGGTCTTTTTTACTTTCTCAGGGGAGGTTTACTGAAGAAAGCCTGTCATTGTTCATAGAATCGTGGTCTTTTTTACTTTCTCAGGGGAGGTTTACTGAAGGAAGCCTGTCATTGTTCATAGAATCACGGTCTTTTTTACTTTCCCAGGGGAAGTTTACTGAAGAAAACCTGTCATTGTTCATGGAATCATGGTCTTTTTTGCGTTTCTCAGGGTAGAGTTACTAAATAAAATCTGTTATTGTTCAAAGAATCATGGTCTTTTTGCCTTTCTCAGAGTAGAGTTACTGGAGAAATCCTGTAATTTTTCATAGAATCACGGTCTCTCTGTCTTTCCTGTCTATTTATTACTGAGAGGGCTGTAATTTTTTAAGTTTACAAAAACATTCTACTATAAAATCGCTAAGAACATTATTTTTATGAAATAGCTTTAAATTTATAGGTTTAATTTGGTCATTTCAGTGTTTTCGACTTTAAAACTTTAATTTGGCTATTTCGGTGATATTTTGTTCACACCTTTAGTTTGGATATTTCAAAATTGTTAATTTTACGCCTTTAGTTTGGTTATTTGAGTAATTTTTACTTTACACCTTTAGGTTGGTTATTTTAGTATTTTTGTGTTTACACCTTTAGTTTGGTTATTTGAGTATTTTTGTGTTTACACCTTTAGTTTGGTTATTTCAGTATTTTAAAGTTTACACCTTTAGTTTGGTTATTTCAGTATTTTAAAGTTTACACCTTTAGTTTGGTTATTTCAATATTTTTGTGTTTACACCTTTAGTTTGGTTATTTCAGTATTTTAAAGTTTACACTATTAGTTTGGTTATTTCAGTATTTTAAAGTTTACACCTTTAGTTTGGTTATTTCAGTATTTTAAAGTTTACACCTTTAGGTTGGTTATTTCAGTATTTTTGTGTTTACACCTTTAGTTTGGTTATTTCAGTATTTTTGTGGTTACACCTTTAGTTTGGTTATTTGAGTATTTTTGTGTTTACACCTTTAGTTTGGTTATTTCAGTATTTTAAAGTTTACACCTTTAGTTTGGTTATTTCAGTATTTCGTAGTTTACATCTTTAGTTTCGTTATTTTGGTGTTGTTGTGTTATTACAAATCTTGTGTAGACATTGTTAATTGGCCCTATTTTCTCATAATCAACTCGCCTTACATTGTTAATTCTCCGTGTAATTTATCTTACGTTTAGACGCATCATTAAAAAAGTGCAAACGTAATATTTGTACTAACAACTGTTTTAGACTGCAAGTAATTTTATCTTTGTTTGTCTTATAGAGGTTTCAAACCAGAAAAATCAAGAAGTTTGTATAAACAAAAAAGTGTGACTTTTGTACGATATGATTCTTTTTCAGTACCATATTTTGTTAAGTGATATGAACGGCTAGAGATAGATCTGAAATGCTATTTTAATACACTTTGGTTTAAATTCCCCAGTGAATAAGTTAAGAGAAATATGAGATCATAATATTTATCATAATTGTTAGGCTTAATGGTTTCATCCGATGGTTTGGCATCGTTTGGCGTCCACGAAGTAAAGTAATGGGTAGACACTATAAAATAAAAACAACAATATTATGTTTTCATTTTCAGACGCAATGCTAAAGTACGCATCAGATCTGTTTTAAAATTAATCTATAAATATCAATCGAAACTAAAACTTGAATCACCATAATGATCAATTTTTTTTTATCAATGACCAAGTCAGGATTTTAAAAGAAACTTAAGTAAAATATTAAAAATGCTAATGTTAAAGTAAAAGCCCCTGTAAAAGCAGCTTCTTTACATAACTATTCTGTACAGCAAAAAAGTATATCTTATACACACAGCGAATAAGTTTCGATGGATCACGTTTTTCACGATAAAATACGAGAGCTACTCTAGACAATAATAATGCCACGAATGATGATGAATTGAAGTTTTTAAATAGCTTTGTCTATAAATACCAGTTTATTTTAAAGAATTCACACACACGCAAGTTCCATTTTGTTGTACATGCTGGAAGAGAACATGGGCGTTTCAGGTTTAGAGAAGTTCTGGCGTCTAGCCAAAGTCTAGGAGATCGTGAATATCCCGATGATCAATACAGCGTCAATGAACTTGGGTGATGAGCCCGGGTTGGAGAAGCAATCTTGTTCGGTAGCAGACCAAACTGAGAAAAATAATATGCTCGGTTTATTCCAAAAACTAATTATATGTAGGTGTACTTTGACTGGTTATATATCTGGCTTTATTTGCTAGCGACCTTTTACAATAACAAACATTTCAGGGTCGCTTACATCGTTAATGTATCATTAAATTCTAGTTAGTTTGGTTTGCCACCAGGAGGAGCTACTAACAAAGCTTAATGTTCTTCAAGCTTTACATCAGGATGTTTCGAAGGAAACGCCACTAACTAACATAGAGCTTAGATAGCTGAAACCCTAACTTTTTCGTTCTATTTTCCAAACACGTTACATGTGTCACTTGGGAAACTACAAACAAAGCGTAGGTTACGGTGTATTACTCTGTACAAAAGGTACGAGAGTAACGAGCTGTTCATATTTTTTTTTTTCTGTCTTTGTTTCTTTAAAAATACATTTTAGTGACAGAGCAAGCGCGGTAGAGAGTTCAATCCATTAGATAAAGAACCGATTTTAAAATGCAGGTTCTCTTCCAAAAGTATGTCGCTGAATATAATCAAAATGCATGTTTACGACTTTTTAAATGTCAAACGTAATTTGATAGTTAATATTTAGAATACTTAGCATTGAATTGAAATAAAGTATTTTACATATTCTGAAAAACTAGCTATTATTAAACTCCAAATTAGTCTAAAAATATTATCATAATAACTTGAAGTTTGCCATGACTTGCAGAGTAAAACTGACTATTTTTGTAAAATCAAATATAAATTTTGATATTTAAAGACTTTAGGTCTAGTTCTGGTAAGGATAGTGTTGTTACTTAACATGAAGGTTTAGTCCTAAATGTTATAGTGTTATTACTTAACCTAAAGGTTTAGTTCTGGTTAAAAGTGTTGTTACTTGACCTGAAGGTTTAGTTCTAGTTGTTATGACGTGTATTTGTTTTAAAACATTGTAATGTATCTATTCTCTGCTTCAGTATTGTTAAGTCTATATTGAGTTATAAGGGGAAACACTTATTTCTAATAAACATGGGAAGGGCAGTGTTCCAGACTTGTAGTGTATTGTCGAGTGTAAGTTGAAGTATAATTAAACTTTGTTTAGTAAATACTGTTACTGTGAAACATGGGAGAGGTAACGTTTAAAATTTGTTAAAACAATTGTTAATAGTAGTATTTGTTTCAGATTTATTATAATTGGCCTCCGATTATTTGGACACATTGGTTATCTTGTGTTTAAACTGGAATAATTCTTTTGGCCTTTAATTGTCTAACGAAGACGTAGTTTCGTGCAGACACGCGATTCATGGGGGGTTGAAGATAAGAGTTATAGAAACGATTTTAATTTCATTGTTTCTTCTGGCTCTTATGAGAGCGACTAAGAAGGTTAGGTTTCTAATCTAACGAAGCAGTCAATGATTTTTTATGCAGAAAGAAACGATTTAAATCTTTTAAATTATTCTATTTAAATAATTCACGTACATGCACTAACAAATAATCTAAAGTTAATGTAGTAAAAAGAACATTTTAGGTGTTTCTTTGGGCCTTTCATTTAAACGTTTTTCTTTAGTTTTTATTAATTTTTGTACGATTAAGTAAAAATTATCTGTCTTCACATGTTATTTTAAACTATGTAGTGTTAATGATGTTTTAAACTATGTAGTGTTAATGATGTTTTAAACTATGTAGTGTTGACTAAAGTTTTAAATTATTTAGTGTTGACCGAAATTTTAAATTATTTAGTGTTGACCGAAATTTTAAACTATTTAGTATTGACTGAAGTTTTTAACTATGTAGTGTTGACTGATGTTTTAAACTATGTAGTGATGAACGAAGTTTTAAACTATGTAGTGTTAACTAAAGTTTTAAATTATTGAGTGTTGACCGAAATTTTAAACTATTTAGTGTTGACTGAAGTTTTAAACTATGTAGTGTTGACTGATGTTTTAAACTATGTAGTGATGAACGAAGTTTTAAACTATGTAGTGTTAACTAAAGTTTTAAATTATTTAGTGTTGACCGAAATTTTAAACTATTTAGTGTTGACTGATGTTTTAAACTATGTAGTGATGAACGAAGTTTTAAACTATGTAGTGTTAACTAAAGTTTTAAACTATGTAGTGTTGACTGAAGTTTTAAACTATGTAGTGATGACCGAGGTTTTAAATTATGTAGTGTTGACTGAACATTTCTACGTATGCGCACAATGAAAAACATGAGCCTGTTAATTAAATTAGTTCCTGGAAACTGTGACAGAGAGAAAATAGATTGATATTAAACCAGTTCATAAACTTTTAGCATTGAAAGAACCAACACCTATTTGGTCATTTTCTAGAAATGTCACATGTAGAGAATTAATAATCTTTTTTTTTTTTGAGCGTTTCGTAAAATTTTTGGAGCGGTGGAAACAAAAGATAAGGGTTATACCCATATCGATAAGGAAGAACAATTATGGTACAACAAGGGAAACTGATTAGGTCGGTCTCTGAAACTGAGGTACAACAAGGGAACTGATTAGGTCGGTCTCTGAACCTGTGGTACAAGAAGGGAACTGATTAGGTCGGTCTCTGAAACTGTGGTACAAGAAGGGAAAGTGATTAGGTCGGTCTCTGAAACTGTGGTACAACAAGGGAACTGATTAGATCGGTCTATAAACCTGTTGTACAACAAGGGAACTGATTAGGTAGGTCTCTAAAACTGTGGTGTAACAAGGGAAACTGATTAGATCGGTCTCTGAAACTGTGGTACAAGAAGGGAAAGTGATTAGGTCGGTCTCTGAAACTGTGGTACAACAAGGGAACTGATTAGGTCGGTCTCTGAAACTGTGGTACAAGAAGGGAAAGGGATTAGGTCGGTCTCTGAACCTGTGGTACAACAAGGGAACTGATTAGGTCGGTCTCTGAAACTGTGGTACAAGAAGGGAAAGGGA